ACAGGCTGAACTAAACTTCACGCAGGTGTCACTGAAAGTGACAGTCTCACCTCCTCCTTCGCTTCTGGCCATGAGTTCCTGCTACCTCCCCATCAGCACTAGCAGCCAAGCCATGAGATGGAGCAGCTCTCATTTCTCAAAAGAAAAGAAACAGAGAAGAAAAATCTCTTTTTTTCCAACCAGATCAGCAAAACTGAGCTGGCTCACCCCAAGGCCATGTGGTCATCAGCGGTGACCAAGGAAGAAGCAGACTCTGAAACCACATGTGAAACCTGCAGAGCAGGTACACTCTGCTCACACTAAAATATCAACGGCAAAACGACATCCAACAACCACTGCAACCTAAAAACATGTCCACAAAAGACAATATTGTCACCTTTAAACGGTAACCCAGTGGATAAGAGCTCACCTGGGAAGCTGGGCACTTTTCCCAGGGCCGGGCACTTTTTCCTCCTGCAGATCCCACCCTCCTACAAAGTCCTTGGACCAGCAGACTTGAAGCAGAACTTGGGCTGAGGCTGCTTTCTGCCCTCCCTCTGGAGCCAGGCCAGCTCACAGAGGAATTCAAAACTCACAAAGCCATAATGAGAAAGCCCTGGAGGGCAAGTATGACTCCATGGGAAAGAGACTCCCAGGAGAAGGGGTAGAGCCCTATATTCTGGTCCCTTCTCCAGGAACTGCTCATGCCTCCTGCACTGAAGATGAGATAAAATGTATACATAGCTCCTTTTATACTAAATCTTCAAAAATACATCCTATGAGCTATGTAAACACACCTAAGAGCCAGTGAGAGCTTTGCCCTAACAGGAGAGCAGCATATTCCTACCCGTATTCTTGGAAGTATTTTTACATTTGGTGGATAAAAGCAAATCAAAGAGCAGAGCTGAGATCTTCCCAGTTATGACTCACTTCTGCCAACCTCATGTTTTGGCAATAGAACTGCACATACACTCTCACCTGAGCCTGTAATAACAGGTCATACAGGGAATTTCTGTAGCCGCCTGGGTTCTTAAAGACACAATTCAGGTGCCCAAACTCGGTTAGAAGTGAAAACTGCCTGCCAATGTCCATTTACTGCATCAGGGAATCCTTAAAGTCCCAGCATGGGATGGGCAGCACTGCCCAGAGATGTCCCAGTTTGGCAGCAGACATATATCCAGTTCTGGATGCCCCATCCCTGGAAGTGTTCAAGGCCAGGTGGGATGGAGCTCTGAGCAACCTGGTTTAGTGGAAGGTGTCCCTGCCCATGGCAGGGTGTTGGAACTGGATGAGCTTTAAGGTCCCTTCCAACCCAAACCACTCTGTGATTCTCTGATTACCATTCCAGTGGAGCGAAGGAAGAGGAAGCGCTCCTCACTCCTTTCTTCCAGGTCCAATTTTGAGCTCACCATTTCCTACACAAACTTCAGCTGCAAGCTCTGCACTTGGATAGCTACGGGCCATAAAAAAAAACCCCTGAAAAAATTTACAAAACAAACAACTGCCTGTGAACTTCCACACGGGAATCCCTCAGACATGAGTACAAATCAACACTAACAAAACACTGCTCAGACCCAAAACATCAAGGACTGTGTTGGTTTAGTACAAAACATCACACAACAAACCTGTGCATCCAATTTTGGACTGTGTTAAGTTTTTCTTTACAGGAAATTTATAGCTTGTGTTCCAAAAGCTGTTATTTATAATAAAGACTTTTTGTTGTTGTTGTTTTGTTTGTTTGCCTCGTTTTTAAAAAAAAAAATCAAGACTAATGTAAAAAGCAATATTCTGCTTCTGCAACAAAATGCTGTTAAAGTTACCTCCATGTGCTGCCTTTTTTTTTGGCTCAAGATAATAACAAAAGGCATGGAAAAATGTCACCTTCACAACATATAATTTAGTCTAGTTCAATAATACTAAGTGCTATTTTAAAAAACAAATAAATGGAGATACTGCATACTTGTCCATATTCTACAATTCTATGCAAAAAAACCCATCAGGTTTCAAACCATGATTTTTTCAATTATTTTGGGTGCAAACCACGCCTGTGCACTGCATCAATGGCAACAGCCCGTTCCCCAAAACAGGTGATTTTCAAGAGCAGCAGTTTCCCTGTCCCACAGGTGGACACACAGCAATGAGCTGAAGATCTAAGACTCCTTCTCCTCAAACAGGGCCTGCTTGGGATTTCTCAGCACATAAAACTGCTCCACTGTGAGCCCGAGGAAATCTGATCCACTGCTTCAATACAGGTTTAACAGTTAACAATTTAGGGGCAATAAAAATTTGCCACTTCCTTTCTTTTCATCTGAAGTGATAAGAAAACAATGATTTTTTTTTTTGGCTTTAAAAAAAAAAAAATTCCCTCCTGAGAACATTCTGATAAGGTTACGGTTAAATAAATGATTTTCAGGAGATATGCAGTTAATTCACAAAAATACTTGGCAAAAATCTATCTTTGAATATGTAATTCATATAACGTTCTCCTCTATTTGTTTAATTCAAGTAAAATATTTTCCTCCACCCTTTCCTTTTCATAGGGTTTTCACACCCACATAACAACCAAGTGACTCTTCCCTGACCCGGCCTCCCACGCCTTTTGGTACAACTGCTCCCTGCTCTTGAGCTCTTCTCCCAAGATCCAAAGGAAGCACTTAAGGAAAGGAAAGGAAACCCAGTACAATGCTAAACCTTCCTTTTTCTCTCTTTTTTTTTTTTTTAATTAAACCATTGGGTTTATTTGCCATTCCACAGGGATGTGTGGTGAACGGCCTTCTCTGCTCCCATTTTGGAAAACAGGGAAAAAATATCCATGAGTGCCTCACTACAGCTGCCACCCCAACTGGGTTTGAGAAGGGAAGACATCCTAGTGTCACCCACCCAGGGAGTAACAGCAGCAGAGGATTCTTCCCTTCACATAGGATGGTTAGGACACAGCACCACAAATTCCTACCGCTGGTGTTTGGAGAACCCATCACAGAGCACAATAAATTCAATAATCACTATTCCGCTTTCCCCATTTTCTAATGATCTCTGCATTCCAAACAATGTTCTGGAAATCCAAGAGCTGCAATATCCCCTATCAGCATCCTCTCTAAAGGGAAAACACAGTAACAGTGCTGGTAAAGCACTAAAGGGAAGTTAAATATCACTCCCCTCATTCCACTGGCAACTAAAAATAAATAATGACTTGCCCAAGAAGCTCCCTCTCCAAAAAATTCCTCCCAAATACAGTGACAGAATCGACAGCAGATTCAGGGACCAAGACTTCCAGACCCAGCTCCGTCAGCCAACATGATTCCTTCCAGCCAATAGTATGTTAATGATTTAGGGGTTTTTTTGAGAAACCACTAATTGATATCTTTTTTTCTTGGCATTTGCAGAGCCACTTAAAAATAACATCGTTTCTATTCTAGGCATATCTTAGGAAAAGTATCATTAGATTTAATTCCAGGGATGAACATCTGATTTTCATGTGAAATTCAACAAGCCTTGTTGATTCAGTGTAACAGGGAAATTACAGCTCAGCCGTGAGTCCAGGATGATGCACTGGCCCATCCCCTTTGCTCAGGATCAATGTCAGCAGAGGTCTGTAGGCTAAAGGTGGGAGGAAACAGCAGTTTCAAATTGTTTCTGTCACCTTGATGCAAAAAGTTTCCCCCTTCCTCCTAAACTGTGGCAGGGCAGCCAGTGCTTTCTGTAAAAGCTGCTCCAGTGAAAAAAATGAACACACCTCTTCCAAGAGCTGCTAAAGAGCTTTCTCTCAATTGCATTTAGCAAGATACCATCTAAGCACTGAAAATAAGCACATAAACTTACCGATGCATTACTGGGAGAAACATCAGAAATAAAGTTCAGGTGTTGCTCAGCCGTCAGCACCTCAGCTCCTCCCCGGCACCAAATAAATCCCACAGCAGCAGGTACCAGAACTGTCTCTCCTCTGCTCCTCACACCCGAACGCTCACAGCCGGGCTCTGAATCTGCCACCAACAAAAGAAACCACAGGAAGACTGCTTCCCTAATGCTTCAGAACTGAGTCAGTGGGTCAACAATTCCTTCGGTTTAGGAGCCAGACCAATTCCTTTAAACACCCCTTTTTCTTTTTTTTCTTTTTTTTCCTGATGGAGAAGCCAACTGTCTCCTGCCAGTGGCAGCCCATCTGCTTCCAGAACAGAACCAAGGCACTCCAAACCACCACCTCATTTTGGCACAGGCATCCGTCCTGACGCAACTCCATTTTGTCTCCCACGTCTGGGAAAAGCCATGAGAAATACTTACAATTGAAAGGCAGTCGGGAAACTGCTCCGTGTGCACCTTGCACGCTGCCGCCGGCTCGCAGCCCACGTTTCCCATCTCCCATCCCTGGGATGGAGAGGCATGAAGGAGCGCGCTCCACGTGATCCCAGACCTATCCCTGGGTCTGCCTTGTTCCGTGCAAGCACAGATTATCCTGTGTGTGCATTTCAGGAGCACTGCTTGAACAAAGAGAGAGCTCCGAAGCTGCTATCCCTGTTCCCCATCCATGACTCAAAACGTCTGGTTGGAAACTGGTTTCGTAATAACCCTTTAGTACCACCTACTCACATCACAGAGCGATTCTTGCAGCAAATGCACAGGAAATCACCAACGAGTGCCAATGGAGCTACTATTCCAAGAACTAGCTCTTTCGGTTATTCCTTCATCACTTGGAAACTGAGATGCTTTTACTTTCCCTATTGCACAGGGTATGATTTTTTTTTTTTTAAGATGAGCTTTTAACTATGATCCTGTAAAATACTTTGCTGATAAATCACCAGCTGAACACTTGCCCACTGTATTTAAAAAAAAAAAAAAAGGACAGAGAAGGAATTTCACAATAGTCATTCCAGAAAATACAGTAACTCCTTTCTGGAAATAACTCATTGGACAAATCAAGCGGGGAAAATTAATTTTTGGAGACAGTTTGCATCCTGCAGAGCACACAAAGACGGTGTCGTCAGCCACGTGCCTTTCTGACCACCAACAGCAGACCCCTGACTCACCCAACCACGAGATGAGTCGCTATGAATGATTTCCTCTTCTTCCACGCTCCCCCGGCGTGCTCTGTGCCACTGGCATATCCTGAGCCTAATCCCGACTTTGATGGAAATTCCAAAACTCATCTGGGAAGGCTGTGGCCACCAGCTAACGATGCTGCCATCTGCTCCCTCCTGCTTTGAGTCACCTGTCAGCAATACAAAAGGAAATTACTCAGCAGCAAGCACGTGGAAGCCTCTGCTACAGCCTCTCGCGTACCCCTTACGGGAATACAACATTCTGGAGCACTTGGGTCACCCTGAAAGGAAAGTGCTACGTTCTGCAGCACTCCCATTCAAAAAAGTGAGATTTGGTTTAAAATGAGGGTAAAAATAAATGCCAGGAGTGCAGAGGGAGCGTGTTTCAGCTGGGTTCTCAGTGCCAGCGTCACCGAGGCTGCCATGGAAGGGGGGACAAAAATAAAAGAAGACATTTCACAAACACGAGACCTTCACTGTGCGTGACAAGAAAAATAATTAAAACAACTGAGAGAACTAATCTGTGGCTGCTTAGGAAGTTAACTCTTCGAAGGAAGTGATTAAGAGAACAAAAGCAAAGTGTTATGTTTATCAAACAAGTAAACTTAACCCACAGAGAGGGCTTACTCCTGTGAGTAAAGGCGGAGTACTGTCACAGCCGCCCTGCAGGCATCTCTTCACACCGGGCTGGGACCTTAATGATTATTAGCCAATTATTATTTCAAACAAATAAATCTTATAAGAAGAACGAAGCACTGCTTTCCTAAAACACCAAACACTAGCAGAAAGGCAGCCACAATGTCCCATGCCTCTTTACAGAATTCCCTTGAGCTAATGCCTATTCAGGACAAAAACTCACAACTGTTTTTCTGGGAAGACCTGATTAACCACTACAGCATTCACAAATTCGGTCCAGAAACAGACATTTTTTTGTTTCATCACAGATTACGCAGCTCACGAATTCAGCCCTGTGAAACAAGGCTCCCAACTTCTCCCAAAAAATAACCGACAAACACAAGACAGTTACTGAATACGACACTCTGAATCTTCAGGAATTTCACAAAAATTAATTAATACTAAAGATCTAATTGTCTAACCTGCTTCTGCATGCAGAAAGAGCCAGACCTGGTGCCTCTACAGGGGGGGAGGGAGGCGCTTCTTGTTCCTGTTTCGTACTTGACTTTTTTCCTGCGCAGGAGATGATCTAATTATCCAACGTGTCAGTAGATTGCTTCACCCTTTCTCGTGTGTCTCCTTACATTAACATATTTTAACAATTCAGCTCATTAGGAAGGAGGCAAGGAACAAAATGGCAAATTATCCTTAAAAATCAATCACACAAAGGCAGGAGTCTTCCCATGTTTTGTCCTGTACCTATCCGAAACTCCACCAGAGCACACAACCAACAATGCTGAATGTAAACTGGCAACAAATCTTCCCAAATCCCACATCCTCAGGCTGCTCAGATGGAAATGTACCTGTTCAAGTAACAAACCTGATCGGTGAGCTCTGCCAAGGGAGGAATTTTGGGTCCTGCCCATTTAGAAGGGAAAGAAACTTCCAAATGCCAGCCCTTTATTGTTCCCAACCGTGCTGATGCTCAGCTGCAGGAACTGTTGCTGCGAGGGGGCTGATGGATCTCATGTATAATAATTGGGCATGGGTGATGAAAGCAAGCGATCAAACCACATAAGGCTGCTACCCATCGTCTCGAAATGGATCTGAAAAACCCTGAAATCCAAATATAACGTGGACAGCACCCGCATTTGCATACGTAGGATGCCAGCCCAAGTTTCCGAGCCTTTTTATCAAATGCCTTTTTTACAGCAAAGAGCCATTCAACACCCAGCCCTTTCAGCACGTAAGGATTTGAGAGACAGTCCTGGGTTTTAAAACCTTGCCTTGAATTCCTACAACAGGTTTGCTCACAGATTAGCCTGAGCAGAGTCCCCATGGCACACAGTAAAACCACGAGATCTTGGGAAACATTTCTTCAGCAAGTTTTGTGTATAATAGCAGTGCCTATATATAAACCTGTTTACGGCTATTTCCAAAGAAGAGCCTGTTCTGAAGCAGCTCCTTTATTGTGATCGAACACGCTGGATCCATTCCCAGTTTTAGGGCTTATGTAAGGCCTTCAAGGAAACAAGAAACTTATTTTGTACAAAATCATGCCAGTATAGTAGTAGGTGCAACGGAATTATCCTGTTACACATTAAGTTTTACTAATAAAAGAGCTGCATTGCCGTCATAAAGTCAAATGCTGCTTCCCACTAGTACAAACAAATATTTCCTGCCAGGTACGTCCACTTTGTCTAATAAATAACACAGCTTTCTGATTATTCCCGTGGCCTCTGTTAGGAGGGAGCACAGCCCAGCATGTTTGCAGGGATGGATCACTCCAGAATGAGTGAGGATCCTACAGCACAGGTAAGACCATCCCAGGTTTGGTTCCCACGTCCCCAGGCAGGCTTCTGCCACTGCCCCAGCAAGATCTGCACTTTCCAGGACCATCAGAGAGTCAAGTCACACCAAACTCAAATTCAGCCCTTAGGACCAAAAGCTGGGTATGTGACCAGGTCCTAAAGCTCAAGCTCCTGTACTCAGAATAAAACCAATAAATTGGTAACTGCAGCATCAGGAGCTTCAAAATGAAAAGCACCACAAAAAAAACAAACCAACCTACAAAACTCCCCACTAAACAAAAATGGAATATTGTAATTAACACTTTATGATGGTCTTCATGCTCTGTTGGTGCAGGGAACCTGCTTGGGCTGAACACATCCATGCCTGACAGGGGCTGGGAGGACAGTGTGGCTCCCTGAGTGGTACAGGCAGTACAGACACAGCCAGTGAGACAAAAACACTCATTTTAGTGTTATTTAGGTGTCTACCTCCAAATAAATAAATCAGCCTCCACTAGATTAGTACCTGCACTTTGCACAGCTCTTCATCAATAACATCAGGGCTTTTTCCCCTTGGCCATGTCCCATTTTGTGTTACCACACAGAGGCACCTCAAGGACTAAACCAGATGCAAACTAATCCTCCTCTTGCTTAAGATTAAATTATTATAGGACCAACCTTGTAGATACCTCTGCCCAGCCTTTCAGAGGGATCAACAATCCAGCACTGAGGTTCAGCACAAATCCCTACACCACAGTTTTCTTTGGGAAAGAGATGCTACTTATCCTTCTGCATCTTCCCTTTGTGAAGTCTCTTACCTGGGAAGCAGGAGACTTTATATTCTGTTTTCTCCTCCCATCCCCACAGCCTGGCACTGTGCTGTAATTTTGATACTCCACATTTATGAGGAGCTGAGTGGTGCCCTCTCACCCCCACTTCTGAAACACGCCACTGCTCACGAAACACATAAAAGATTCAGAATGAGACAATATGCAAGAGCAGCTTGACCCTTATCCTACAGAGAAAAGGTCTTCTCTGGGCATTTGGAAGTCAGGGTTTCGATTTCTTTTCTTAATCCTCTTTCTATGCTTTATCCAAGCTGTGTAAGCAGACTCCAAGTTAGGACAGCATTTCATGTTGCCACACTTTTTTCTTCCTACTTTGCTTACTGGCAATTTTTAGATGTTTAACTCTTCTTGTTCATTCTACAGGCATCTATCATATTATTTCAAGTATGTCATCCTCGTGTTGGCAATTTCTTTTATTTCATCTCATGGGCCTGCACACAAGCTGCATTCACAAATGAATTCTGGAGCTGCAGAAGCAAATAGGAATGGCTGAATTCTGACCCGGGCATGGAAAGGATGACGTGAGGGGCACGCGAGGCAGGATGGAACTGCTCTCCTGACTTACTCTGGTAGCTACAACAGATGGATCACATAATCCAATGCAAACAGCAAACAAGTTTCTTGGTAATGAGAGAAAAGGACACAATGACCTCTAGGTAAAAATCCTAGGAACAGCAAGCACACATAAACATCAACCTGAGCAACTTTAATTCTGTGCCAGAGCCTGAACTGAAGATAACAGTAAAGACAAACACCCAAGACAGATTTAACTCAGGCTGTAATTCACTGCATGCAACATGCCAAATTGTGGTACAAACCTCATGCCTTTTAACACTCCTCATTGTAAGACCTATTCTTATCTTGGTGATGAATGTAGGTTTTTAGAAAGATTTTTTGGAGCCTTTTGCAATTTTAGTGCTCTGTTCTTCAGCGGGGAGGAAGCTGGAAGTACTTCAGGTTATTCGCTGGGGTAGAATATGTCCCAGTATGGATTCACAAACACAGGGCATCTCATGACAGGGCACTGCTGATGAACTGCTGCGTGGCTACAGACAAGCACATTATTGTTACCTCTCTCACTCCTCCGCCCCAAATAAAGGGTGTTTTAATTTAAGATTTATTTTGTTTGCAAAGCTGATTCAGCTCCTGCAACGGGAGGCAGTAACAGCATGAACTCTGTTTTCTTGGTATGAAGCTACAGACCTCTTACTATATACTTTAAATAACAGACTAAAAAACTCCCCGTTCCTCCTTCTGATTAAGAAATCCTTGAACAGCTCAGTTCCCCAGCACTCAGAAAACCCGACAGGGTAGCAGGGGCCATAAACACTCATTTTCTGCCCAAAAACACAGGAGCACTTCAGAAATAACGAGTATTTGGAGGAGGGTGGATTTTTGGGGGGATTTCCTTTATTTTGAGTGCTCCGAGCTCATACCACTAGATGGCACATTTGAAACTCCTGGCATCTCGGTCTTAGCTCTGCATCACACCATGTCTGTCCTCACCTGGGATGGAAAAGTACAGGTAAAATGATATCTCAGAAGCCAAAGAACTGAGATAGGCGGACAATGGCAGAGAAAAACGTGCCTGCACGGGAAGGCAATGTCAGCCAGGGAGCTGAGAGCAGGACTGCCAGGGAGAACTGAGCTCCAGCACTTCCAGCTCTCATCCTGGTGTGCCCTTCGTACATCACTTCATGTCTTGGGAGAGTATCTGAATGTGTGTGCCAGAGGTAGTTGAGACAGGAGGAAAATAGGGAAAGAGGGTGAGAGTTGACCCTTTGGAGGCACAACACCAAATTTCACCCTGAGACGAGCAATGTTCCACTTTCTGCACATCCCCGAGAGCTCAACAGACCAAAACCCATCCACAGCCTCTCCAATGCATCACTGGCATGAACTGATGAGAGGGAGACA